AGGGAAAGGAACTCTCCCTGGAATGCCTCCGAGCGAGAACGATGGAAAAAAAACCGATTGAAATTGCACAACGATGTGATGTCCGTGGATGAATCGTGTAAGGGGGTGCAATGCCCATATAGAGGTGAATTAAAGGTGCTTAGAGGTGGATCATTCCACCTCAAGTGAGGTGATTACCTATGCTCGACCGTGTCGGAATTCAATGAAATTTTCAACTTTAACTTTTCAAGGGACAGTTGGATCCAGCTGATACTTGACAGAGAGGTTCATGAGTATGTTTTTTTTTCACTTCCGCAAGATGGCGCTGTATCCTGATAGAGGGCGCTGTTGCTGACCGGATGTCCCCTACCCAAGTAACACAGTATGTTGATGAAACGTTTCTGAAATTTTGCCTATGTTGCTCTATGTTGCAAGTTGATATACAACATTGATAAAACATTGCTTCAATGTTTTAACTTGGAATGTTGCTGCGACACTTCTACCAATGTCATTGCAACATTTGCTATCAACATTGAGAGAATGTTGACACTCTTGACATCGACAATGTAGCGACAACATTCTGATACAACATGGACTTAGAAGTTTTAGGGTTAATTGTAAAGTTGTCCTCCTTGCCACGAGATGGAGACGTAGGTCTTGCTTTTCTCGCAATACACAAAAGTGCCCATCTCCCTTTCCCTGGAAGAGTCCCGCACAGGAATGTTTAGTACCTTACCATATGTCTCACATTGTCTCATTATAAGAAGTCAATGAACACTGACACTTTATTACTTGTTATCCTCATATTCCAGACAGATTAATGGGGTCAAGATAAAAAAGCTCGTATTCCCAAGAAGAACCCTTTCCAAGAACTCGTCAGTTTCATCCCGCCTAATGTTTGTCAGTCGTTTAGTCGTTTTTATTTAATCTCAAAGCCACTACGGCTAGCATCTCCTAAAGCACCGATTTAGGCACTTCGCACCGCAACTGCAGTGACAAACGTTGTTTCCGCGCCAGCACCAAGTTTTTTATCTGCAGCGACTGCCTCATCGCCGTCCTGTGGGACCTCCTTCAACATTTTTTCGTCGCATTCAACCTCACCTCGCAAAAATCGCCGCCATTTTGATGGGAGGAGCTCCCGTTTGCGCGACATATGAAACAAAGAACTTACGTTATTATTTTGACTTCATCCATCATGAGAACTCAAATAAATCGGCCATGACATGAAACGCAAACAGAAAACTATTGCATGGAAGCGATGCGTCTGACCTAACGAAAAAAAAATACATACAGAAAAAATACTTCAACAAAGAATGTATTCAAATAGAGAACTTGCAGTCGATCAGTGATAACGTGACACGCATTCAGTTAGTTGCACTCTTTAATTGACACAGCTAAGTATGAAGCCTATGGAAGTTAAGATGAGCCACAGCCTATGACTAAGACTGGCATAGCCCTATGGACCTGGAGCTGAGAGCGTTGGATGGCAAAGCCTATGGCTTAGAATAGCATGGCCTCATGGACCTGGCGCTTTGAGCGGTGGATGGCCTAGCCCATGGCCTAAAATGACAGTCTCGTAGGCCTCGCGCGTTGGGGTGACAGCCACCACCACAACTTTCGGGCTCTTTAAAGTATAAGATATCCCATGCAGGCGCGGAGCATGGAGTTGATACGTCAGATTCGAATGTGCTCTGGAGCAAGATGGTGTCCTTGTGTTGCTGACGATCAGACTTGGCTCCTCAATATCAGCAACATATCCCTGCAATTTGCGCATGACTCTCAAATAGGTCTCTCTTTGTATAGAAGTATTACCGTCAGGCCTCTGTCGATTTCAAATGATTCACGCCCGTCTTTAACCCTTCGTCATTGGTTCACAATGTTGTTCAACCCAGGCTGGAGACGTGAAGTCAGGCTGGACCAATCAGGCAGTGAATTCAGAGTATTGAGCTGATTTAGCTGTTCTTCAGATTTACTTTTGCTTGTACCTGTCAGAATTCAGGTCAAACATATCTTTTGGGTACCCAATAGTTTATAAAAAGGGATTTCTTTGTGGTTGTACTAATGAACTCCGTTCAAAGTGAGCTGTGGTATTCTGATCTGAATTCACCATAGCATTCGTTCTAATCTGGTTCGTACTGAAATTGTTTATCTTACTGCACACCTGCACATGACCCTTCTGGAGAAATGTGGCATCACCTAACTTTCCCTATATGCAGCAGTATCATCCCAGTTCTTGTAGCCTGAGTAAGATTACATGTTCTTATGTGGATGAGGGAAAGACACCAAGTAAGCAGTTCACTTCTGTCTTTACTGCAAAGTATCAGACCTATGCTGTACGCTGCAGACTAGGCAAGTGTTCACCCAAGCCATTTGTTAAACCTGAAGTAACATGGATAAGGTAGTCAAGTTCCAAGGTCTGACAGTAAATCATGTGCAACAGATGGCATCTCTTCCTACTTTGCAAGAAATGGCTTCACTACTATGTACTCCTTCCTGATGTTAACCCTTTGTGGTCCTATGTTGGACCCAGTCCAACATTGTGAAAATCCCTTTTTGGTCCTTTGTCAGATGCTGTCCAACATCACTTACACTGTGTCTTTAACCCTTTCACTGGCATGTTTTCAGGCACAAATCGTTTCCCCAGTTGCAGGTTTTTTCAGTGTGAATATTAGAAGCTGCCTGAAGGGCAAACAAACTCACTATGGTCATGCCTTTGGCGCTCCATTATCTAGGATAGTGATTAATTCATTAATCACTTTTGAAATGGCAAAAACTTACTGAGATTTGAAATCAAAATCATTACTTCCATGATATCTTGTGCCTAAGGTCAAATATCTTCATGTGCCCCTTTTTGTAAGAGCAGAAAATAAATTTTGAAATACTTCTGTTCCAATTTCCATCCTGAGAAGACATATTTCAAAAGTATGATTTTTTCATTACTCAGCTATCCATCAAGAACTTCTGTACCAAGTTTCAACTTTCTATCTCTCTCTGTTTTGTTTGATAAAAAAAAATTTGGGAAAACGTGCCTCTTCGAAAAAAAGGTGCTTGTAGGAGTTTTACCTAAAAAGTACAATTTTTACTGGAATCAGTATTCGGGGAACTATATGCCCACCAAGTTTCAACTTTATATGTTTGGCCCTTTTGCTGGTGAAAAAATATCTTTGGAAAAACTAAGCCACCCAAAAGCTATGCCCTGAGGGGATGCACCACAAAAGCTGAATTTTCCCTGAACTCAACATCATATCAGTTATGCGTATGCCAAGTTTCACATTTCTATTTCTGCACAATTCACTAGGACAAAAAAATTCTTATTTGAAAACATCTCCCCTGAAAATGTGTACCTCCAAAATCTGATTTTTTCTGGAAAAATTACTGATGAAAACTTCCTTATTGTTGACATTTGTTCACTGTTTTGTAATAAGGTTCCTTTAGTGTTGATGAAAATATTTTTGTTCAATTGAAACTGCTTGTGTTTTTTCATATTTTTCTGCTAAAATAAATTGTATCTGCCAGACAGCTTCTGAGTAAATGGGACTGCAAAGGCTTAATCTGAAATCTTTTGAAGCCTGCTTCTACCATCAGGGTGTTTCATTCTGATTTCAAAGACATAACATAATAACAAATTGGGAAATCGGGGCTCTTCCTTGAAGCTGTTGTCCAGTGGTTCTTAACTTTCCCTTAGAGTTAAAGCACATCATTCTTTCTGATATTGATAATCTTGATTAGCATGACATCCTCACAACCAGTCAGCATGCCAGTAAGGGATACTTATGTGTAATGAAACTTTTTGACAGTGTTCATGATTAGGTTTGGGTGAAACCTGTATATTGAGCCCACCAGATGGATATTATAGCCTTGGAGTCATTAACCTTGAGCTAAATCATTTCAAACTATCCAAACTAAATAATTTGTATTGCCCCTGACACTCCTGGTTGGCAGTATGAATGAGGCAATACTATGTTTTTGTAGACTAAGAAGGAAGGTACTCAGGGAAGCTTTAGCCCCCCACTGCATGATTGTGATAAATGATATGCCTCAGATTGCACAGGATTCAACACTAGGTGTGTAATCCTCATCCTGGAAAATTCCTGTTCATTATCTGTCTCCTTTACATCCCTTCATTTCTCAGTGGTATTTGTCATTTATTTTTCCAATGCATCAATGTAACTTATCTATGGCTCAGGTCAATGTTTTGCTGTCATGACAGACCTAATTATGACAAGTATGTGGGTGCCTTACAATCTTATTTGTTGCATGTATCCAACAGTATTTTACTGTAACTATCCTGCCAGATGCAGAAGAAATGTGAAGAGAAAACCAGCTCGGGCATCACTTGTATAATGTTCTTTCTTCCAATGCGTACAATTAGGAAAAAAAGTTACTGAGGGTTATTGTAGGTACTGTTATTGTAGATACTGCATACATACTGCATATAAATGGGGAGGGGTCAGAAGGGAATTTTGTCTTGTATCATCAAACAAAGGAAGAGAGACACAGGCTCGGGTCTTCTATGTACACCACAGCATGGAAGACAGCAAAGAACAGGAGCTTAGTTCTGCTGTCATTAATTCTTGAACTGGGCTTTGTTTCACTCACCCCCTTCACTTTTGCCATCTTTGAGACATTTCCAGGAGAGGTGAGGAGGAGGAAAAAATTTTGAGTCTTCCAAGTTACATAGGAGTTTCAGTTCTTTGACCTCATTAAGGACAGTGGATTCCTTACAACAGATGGTCTTGAAGCACTTGTAAAGGCAATTATCCTGACTAGATCAGGATGCCTGAAAGCCTGTATCCTTGCTTTGTCAACTTCCTTACAGTGGAGAAAATCTTTGTTGCAGTGTTGGTCCTTTAAATTCCCTGTAGCTGGTTTTGAGAAGTCTATTTAGAATGTTTGTAATAGCCCTTTCTTGAATGTGTCAGAATTCCAAGCTTTTTGCTAGTGGATGCAAGAGCAAGGAATGGGAACTAAAGGACAGTGTTCAGTCTTGGTGATTGGAATGATGATTTTGTCTACAAATTATAAATTCTTTCCTGTGTTTCTGTTATAGATGGAATGAGTTGTGATTCCATTTATGATGTAGCAAGTTCTTGTTTTGAAAAATTTGAACAAGATGAGGAAATGGTATCTCATGATATCTCCAAGTCCTGCCTCAGTGAAACAGAAGGCAGCACAGACATGAATTTTCATGTCAGTAGAGGCCTTGCCTAGGTTCTTGTGTGTCCTAGGCCAGGACATACGTGCCAGCACATTTGTTGTCTTCTTGACTGAAAGTGAGAATATATAGCTGAGGCATTTAAAAATAGCAAACATGGCTGACCTGGAGGCAGTGTTGGCTGATGTCAGCTACCTCATGGCAATGGAAAAGAGCAAGTCTACTCCTGCGGCAAGAGCAAGCAAAAAGATCATCCTCCCTGATCCAAGGTAGACACCCTTTCTTCTTAGAATCATTGGTTCCCTTCTCTGTTGATTCTCCTCAATGATGAAAAAAATCCTTGCTCTCCAAGAGTAGTTGAGCTGATCTAACAGTTCCTGCTCAATGCCAGAAAATCTCCCCATGGGCCTTTTTGGGGATCTGAGAGGAAGCTAGTCTGCTTTTTTTCTCTGCATTTTTCTGAAGTTAAACTTTGAAAATGCTTAACATTTCTCAAGATTATATGTTTCATGCTCTATGACTTTGTCAAAGTCCAATAAGGAGTTCATGCTTCTAACACCATGTCATTCATTTCATATTTTATTTTGGTATCGCTCTCATGCCTACAGTCACTAGTTCACTGGGTTTGATGGTTTAGATGGTACTTTAGGCCATTCAAAAATGCTGCCTGTCTGAAGATAAAAAGAGATTACCCCCTTACAGGAAGAGAAAACAAAAACCATTTGTTTGGACAATCTAATAACTTGTATAATTTTGATTCCCTCTGTGTGCATTAGTTTTCATCATGTCTCTCAAGACTTATGGCAAGACTTGCATAAAATAGCAGTAGGAGAATAGATATACTGTACGTGAAGAAAATGAGAGAAGAATCAGAGGACTTGGTGTGAGGAAAAGCAGATCTTGATAGGTATGCATCTTGAAAGGTATGATATGGCATCTTGAGGTACGCATGAAAGCAGATCTTGATAGGTAGGTACCTGCATGATTTCTTGGACAGTACTGGTGTATTTGCAGACAATCCTTGTTCCATGGTGGAGGATGTGTCAAGTTGACGACACCAGCAAATTGAAAGGTTGATGCTGGCAAGGGGGTTGCTGATTTTTAGATAGGTCATCTTGCCAAATAAATTTTCATTGATTTGTTCGTAGCACTGTCTTGGCCTTGAAGTGAATATAACAATGGAAGTGGTAGGTGATTAGGAGAGTGAGAGGATTGCCTTGAAAGAAACCTATTCCTTAAGGGCATGAAAAATTCTCATGGCAAAGAGGGTGAACACTGTGCAGTGGCCATCCATTTACAGACATCAGGAATCTTCACCTTAGTGTCAACTGAGTGAAAATTAATTTCATGTCATGCAAAACAAGGGCTATGTATTTTGAAGCATGAGACAAGTTTGATGAAGTTTAACTGAGTATGCTTGAATCATGATATAAACAAATATAGGTATGAATTACCTTGATGTTGCAGCTTGGCAAAAACAAAATTCAAGACATGAGTCCTTGTGATAAGAGAGAGATCAACTCTTACTTATCTTCAGTTATGTCGTACATTCTATTTGAAATTATAATTTGTACATTTTGATGGAGGAGCAGGCATCCAATGCAAATAACAGTCCTCAAAATGCCCTGTAGGGTTCCTGACTTCTATTATTGACTGATCCTGGCAAGTCACAGCATTTTTTTTTGGAAATTTGAAGCCCTAGAAGTCTGGCCATATCAGTTCTATCAGTTTCTTCTCTCATTTCTATGAGTTTCAGCAGGACAGCAATGGTATTTGTTCCTTGCATCATAAAAACACCCACAACTGGATGAGAGTGGTATGTATCAGTTACTTTCAATAGAATCTACCTGTTCAAGTTAATTCTCATGACATGTCGCTAAAACTATACATGTATGTTAGTAAATGGACTGTGGCAAGAGTCAGTTGCAGAAACTAAGGCATGACATTTATGTAATTCATGGTGGAAGGAAAATGTTTGTAAGTATATTACAGCTGATAAATTTTCACAGGCATTGATAATCAAAATTGTTCCTACTTGAATTGGTTCATACTCTTGCAGTGTGAGAAGTGTGACACATCGCTACTTGGACAAGATGGGAGAAGTTACATTTGAAAAGATTTTTAATCAAAGACTTGGTGAGTTCTCTTGTGCTCTTGTTATCTCCAAATGATAAGTTGCACTTCATGTCTTGCTCTGAAAATGAAGATATTTAGTCCAGAAAGCCTATGGTCCAAATGCACAAATCTCATTTAGGGAAGCTAAAGGGGCTTTTTTGCTGAAGAGCTCTTTTTCTCCCATAGGAATCTGTGTATTCTTGAAGGACTGTGAAATAAAGGTGGTTTCAGCATTTGGGCCTATATTTTTAATGGAGATGCTCTTGTTCTTACAGGTACTCATCTTGAAATCATATTAGTTTACATTTAAATGGATCTGATACATTTTTTCAAGTCCTTATCCAGTTTCTCATAGAGAAATCTGACTAAAATGTCAGATGATATAATGGCTGAGATCTGGATGGAATGTTGAATGGGCTTCATATATGATACATCCGGAGCCAGAGAGTACAGTTAGCTGTTTTTCAAGTTTCAGCTGTGTGTCTTACAAAACAAAGGAATGATGTTATGAAGAAAGCAGGGGAACTTAGAATATTTTAGCCAAACTTCCCATGCAGAATCCTTTTACATGCTTCTCACTCTCAGATAGAGCCCTCCACTGCTTCTTGTTATGCAGTCATCCATGAAAGAAATGTCAAATTATTACCTATTGTGTCTTATGTCATGGTTCATAAAGGTAAAGAAGCCCTTTCTTGTTATTAGGGACTGGTATTATCTTAGCATTGACTTTATCTAAAGCATTTATTCATCTGTGGATCATTTAAGTTTTGTCACAACTCTAAATCTTATATAAAATCTGGTGATGAAGGGATAACTTCGATATTACAGTTCACATGGGAATGAGTTACTTTGTATACAGGGTAAGGGTTACACAGAATGTGTAATAAATTGTCAGAGGCAGATTAGAATCAGTCACTCTTTATACCTCCTTATCCCTAATCCATTGAAAATCCTGAGTTGGGTCATCCTGAATACCAAGTGGCCAAAAATGTTCTAAAATTCACAAGCCTACAAAGGGAATGCCATAGTTGATTATGATAGGAATAATGAAAATTTATATGAAGTGATATAACATGAGTTGGTGATTCTGTGAACATTTCATTGGGATTAGTTATTAATAACCAAAATCTTTTATCCATGCGATGTCAAAAAGCAAATGTGCCAGTGTGTGAACCCTGGATAGTTCCCATATGGTGGGACTGGTCCTGTGAAAGTTCAACAGAATGACCAGATGCAGGCAGACACCTGCTCATTTGTCAATGTGCAAAAATTGCTGTTCATAGGCATTTGAAAGTCAATTTAATTTAATATCAGGAAATTACCAAAAAACATGACACTGAGGAATGTCCCTACAGTTTTTACAAAAAGTTTCATCTGTGGTCTTGTGAAGTTGGGAACATTTGAGTCACCTGTTGCCACAATCAGTATGCATAAGTGGTTTTTCAAACATTTAAATGAAATTTGCTTTTAACATTCTTGGTTCAGTGCAGACAGGATGGGAATGGGTGAGTGACCTAAGCTAAAAATGATTTTCATAATAGAAGGAATAAAAGAAATAAGAATGACTGAATGCTAGGATTAAATCTTGAGGCAGAATTGCTTTATAAGATGTATGGAAAAATTGTTCTCGTATAGCTTGATTGAGTGTCTCAGATGGAATAGCTTGAAGTAGGGTCCAGGAAGGTCCATATTTACTTCATGTGTGGGATTTTTTATGTACTGGGTGGCTCATTATCTGTCCTCTCCACTTCTCAATCATTCAAAAATGTTTTAAGAGAAATGCATGAACAAAGAATACTATGGAGTTTTCTCATGTTCCATCATAAATTTCATGGGAACCAAACTGAATAAAGGTTGATCTCTTTGGAAAAGCAATGCATACTCTTTTAGTATGTCTGATAGCTTTTCCATAAGAGATATGAAATTCCTACATTGGTATGCATTCTGTTTGTATTCAAATGACTCTCCTTTCTTTGCAACAGTGTGAATGAAGGTCCAGTTGATTTGTTTCTTTTGTTTATTCTTGAAGCATGGCAGGTGTCTGAATACTTTAATAACAACAAAGTGTATAACTTTTTTAAGAATATTGAATTTTCATTATTTGTTCTCTGCTATATTATCCAAAGAATATGTTTTATTTGAGTGACTCTTTCTTGTCAAAATATACATAACTCCCCTTCATTCCAGCTCCTCTTGAGCTGAAGGGAAGGAGGTCATTGCATTTATGCAAAACATTCCTGCATTTGTTATTATTTTGACATTGCTGTGATATGTAATATGGACTGAAAAGGTAGTTTTTTACTAGTTCTGTTGTAGAATGTGTAGATGCCAGTAAGTCTGAGTCCATTCACAAGACTTCTCATTGAAAGTCTTCCTCACTGTGACTTGTGGCTTGGCAAAGCTATGAAAAAGCAGGAAGAATATCAGTGGATGGCCAAAATAATTATATTAAATTCTCTCTCTTAGGATACTTGCTCTTCAAGGAGTACTGTGAGACTATTTCAGAGGAACCTATCCCACAGATCAAATTCTATGAAGAGGTGAGCTGAATTGGGTCTCTTTTGGGGTTGCTAAATATGTCTTGCTTTTTTATTGTTTTGATTGAATTTTAAATTTAAAGAATACATTTATACATTTTTTATGACATTATTTTTGGATTTTTCTCAATTCCTTGATATAAAAAAAAATGTTATTACACATCTCATATCTTGACATTTTCTTCATTATTCATTGTTTTAGTGGGGGACCTAATAGATGTGCTTTATGTTTATATTATGTATTAAAAAAACTTTATCCCTAATCTGTCATCTCCCATGCATCCTGTTCCAGTCCCTTCCAGATTCTGTGCCCTTTGGTTCTGGGACCTCCCATTAAATTCTAGATAGGTCCACCATCATATGCATTATTTTAATACAGAGAACTGTGGAACCTTATTAGGGGGTAGTCAAGGTTACTGAATGCCAGTAAAAAATATGAGCCTACTTATTGATCTGCCAGAAAATGTAATGACACTTGAAAGTACCAGGTAGGATTACTAATCACATATACCCTGAATTACCTTATTTCATCTATGAATATGCAGGAGCAAAAAATGAATGAATAAATGGCCTGCATGACAGTCAGAGAAAGAGAATTGAGGGTTTGAGTTATTGTAAATAATGAAAAACCCTCATTTGAAACACAACAGGTTTTCTATTTTATTTTAATGGGAAGTCAAAGCTTTTTTTTTTCAGTGCTCTTCCTGAGCAAGTTATTATGCAACCTATTAATTTCCCAGCAAACCCTGCCTTTTGAGTCTGCCAACAAAGCGTACTTTTGCTATCATGCAGGCTTGCTCAACATTAAAATTTCAGTTTTCTAAATCTTGTTCTAAGGTTGCATACTACAAAATGCAAGTTAATGTGACAAATGTTACATGTATCAAACAAAATCCATCTAATGATTTTTATCATTTACCACTTAAAATATTTGGCATGCCACTATTTTGTTAAACTACATGACTCAACCTGATTATTTGCTGTTTATTCTCTTATCCTAAGATCAAGAGGTATGAGAAGACAGAAAATCTTGAGGAAAGGAGGAAGTTGGCAAGAGAAATCTACGACAACTTCATTATGAGGGAGCTCTTGTCTAATTCACATGTGAGTCTGCATTCTTTTCCTCCATTTCTCTTTAAAAGTGAAGGATATTGTCAGGAATGCCTTTATATTTTCAGAGTTATTCCAAAGATGTTGTGAATCATGTTCAGAAGTACTTGACCAAGAATGAGGTTCCTTGTGATCTCTTTGAGGTAAGTATCCTATTATATGTATGGTTTCATTGAAAATGTCATATTCAATCATGATGTCTCATGATTAAATGCTGTATTTTGGATAATCAAATCTCTACCACATTGAAGGAGGTTGCTATATGGGCTGTATATGCAGTTTCACTAAATATAATTCTGGTGTAGTAAATTATAAGACAGTGATGGCATACTTCTACAGAATCAGTGAATGATAGCAACTACTGCCTTCCACTCTCCACTTCTTGAGCTGCTGCTTTCCATTAAGATTTTGCCTCCCTTCTCCCCCTTCTCAGCAGTGGAACTCCCACTATATGAGAATTCCTTGCAGTATCCAAGTTATAAGACTCTCACTCTAAATCTGGGTGTGTCAAATTGTTTTGTATTTTGGCAAATGAAAACTTTAAAGATCATCACTGTCGCAAGAAATCAAGGATAATATTTATTCATTTCAGGTGCGAATGACAAGGTAATTTAGAACAATCAGTCATGCTGAAAAAGCACTTTTACTAGACCTGTCCTACAATAATCATCTTATTTTTTACAAAATAAAAATTAATTTTGCAGATCCTGTTGTATTTCCACCCTTATATCCTGTCCTTTATGTTGTAGCCATATGTTGAAGAGATTTTTGCCCATCTTCGAGGAGCACCATTTCAAAAGTTCATTGAAAGGTTGGTTCATAAGCTTCAGTGTTTATCTCTGTCAAAGCATGTGCTATATGCATGTGGAACTTATGTGTGGCATTAAGTAATACATCGAACTGTTCAGGATATTGTGTTCAATAGAAATTATCTTCTTTCTTGAAATTAAGATGGTTTCAAGCCCTAAGGATTTACTTCTGGTGACAAAAACTTTAAGTAGTTTATTCCTCTATGGATATAACATAATCGGTTTGACTTTTTTCAGCAAAAGGAACTCCTTGATAATTTTTTTGTAATCAAGTTTGTACTTCAAGGATGCTATGTGTCCTGAATTGTACAATTCTCTAGGGAAATCAATTTTTTATTTTTTATTTGACATATAGGATAGTCTGAATATTTTATATTGATATATGCTTTCTCTCACTTCTCTGCAGTGATAAATTCACACGGTTTTGCCAATGGAAAAACTTGGAACTCAATATTCAGGTGAGTTCATCTTTATCTCAGAAATGGTGCCACCATGAGAATATGGAAGAGACCTAGACAATGAATTTGCTTTTATTTTATTTGGGCCAGCTAACCATGAATGACTTCAGTGTCCACCGAATTATTGGAAGAGGTGGCTTTGGTGAAGTGTATGGTTGCAGGAAGGCTGATACTGGCAAAATGTATGCCATGAAATGCCTGGACAAAAAGAGAATCAAGATGAAACAGGGTGAAACGCTGGCGCTGAATGAGCGTATCATGCTTTCTCTAGTCAGTACTGGGGTAAGCCTGTTTTCTCTCCTCATCAACATGAAATTAGATTTCTGGTCAGTGTATGCAACTGCTCCAAAGGCAAAGTTGACAAAGATTAAATATTTGCTGTAAATGCAACTTCCCTGATGCCTCAGTCAGCCCATGCACCATAGGAGTATGCTAGTATTTTATAGCTCGGATGGCCTATTGTGTTCCCAATTGCTTTTCAATGGAACATTGGGATTTGCATAAGAGACATTCATTATGTTTCTTTGGAAGTGCATAAATGTAGTCAGGATTGAACAAAAAATTTCTGTGAGACACTGTTCTTCGTAATTTTTTGCATGTACTACTTTATTGCATTGTAAACTTGCTAGTATATGCTCTATTTACCAGTTGAACAGTAGGTTGAGTTGAGTAGCAGGTGACCTATGTGTAGGAAGAAGACTCATGAATATTGGTATTTATATTTACAAGATTGATTTTTCCAGGCTGATTGCCCATTCATTGTATGCATGACGTATGCATTCCATACCCAAGACAAGCTCTGTTTCATCTTGGACCTAATGAATGGGGGGGATCTCCATT